AGAAATGGTTGTGTGTCATCATACAGAGTAACTAAATGGACAGTGGGGACTCAGAAGAGGAAGTGGAGGGGATGGATGCAGGATGAAAAATTACCTATTAAGTACAATGTTCTATTGTACAATGTTCTATTGTACTACACAACACTATTCATGTGACAGGTAAATTAAAAATCTAAATTTCTCCACTATACAATTCATGCATGTAACAAAAAACTACTTGAACACTCTAAATCCACTTAAATAAAAAATAAAAATAATAACAATATTCTAATATCACTTTTAAATTTCTAGTGTTGGTAATTTTTAGTTTTTCTCTTTCTTTTTGATTAGTCTTGCTAGATTTTAATGAATTATATTAACCTTTTCAAAAAACCAACTTCTGGCATTATTGATTTTCTATGGTATATATCTGCTTTTAATTTTATTGGTTTCTCTCTTTTCTTAATTACTTCCCTTATTTTACCTTCTTTGTGCTATATTTGTCTTTAATTTAATTTCCTGAGGTGGAAGCTTAGATTATTGATTTTCAAACTTTTCCTACTACATTCATTTATACATTTCACTCTCAATTACATTAGTTTTATTTTCATTATAATAAAAAATTGTCTAATTTCCAATGTGTATTTCTTTTTGAAAAATACTTTAAATAGAATTCTGTTGCTTAATTTTAAAGAAAAGATGCTTTTCTAACATAAAAATAGATTTACCCTACATATTAAGGACATAAGTGGTAAAATTGAATCAGAATGGCCTACACCTAAGTATAGTGCAGTAAAACTATTGAACTTGAAATAAAAAGGAAAAGTCCCTTTTGGCATTAGTTATAAGGTCAATATCCCTTATAAGAAAAAGAAAACCAGATTATCATCAGACTTTGATGGCAATTCTTTTTGCCAGAAGACTATGGTGTAACATACTTAAGAAATACAAGGGAAGCAGATGGAAGCTAAAGATTTTATATCCAGCTAACTGATCTTTCAATATCAGGGTCACGATTCTTTATGAACAGATAAGAAATCAGACAGTATTGTGCCTGTGAGCCTTCCTAGGGAATTTATGGAGAGCAAGTCTCAGACAACCAAAATGATCAGAGAGACATCAACAGTAAAACTGGTGGTGAACATTAAGTGTATGTTTACTTGTACAACTCAGAGTGCCCGTAGTTTATAAGGGAGAGAATATAAAATGTAACGGCCATTTGCTGTATATACACTTAATTGTCAAAAAATGAGGGGGGCATAAATTGGAAAGAGAATAGAAAAAGTAGAATAAGCTCTCTGCTGGGCACAAGGGAGAAGATGAAGAAGGCATCATTAGCTAATTTCTGTTTTGTTCGTAGTAAGATATCAAAAGATAGTAGTAAAAAAGGGACTTAAAGGTGTTATATACAGATGTTAATAAAATCATAAACCATATAATAGGAAATTGTAAACAGATATTAATAAAAAGTCATCAGAACAAAATAGCACAAACCTTCCTAAATACAAAAAATACACACACGAGAGAGAACACATGCTCGTGCAAACAAATAGTGAAGACAAGTGCTGGTCAGACTCTCTGTATTGAAGGACCACTTGTTTTTTCCAATCACTTATAAGCCAATACTTTTGTAAAATACAAAATCACATGCTTGGACTTAGTTGCAATGTCAAATTACTTTAAATGTTTCTAAATTTTTTTTTAATTTTTCTATACATATGTCATCATGGCTTGGTAGCAAACAGTTCATAAACCAGCACTCATATAGCTCATATAGAGAAAAAATAGAAATGTATAAGATATAGGTATATAGATATGTATATGTGTATATACCTATATATATGGAAATATATGTAACATAAATATGACAAAATTGATACCAAACTTTTAGATCCTATCAATAATAAATTCACCTGTTAAATTTATTTTTCTAAGAAGATTTTCAGACTACCTAACAAAGCAAAATCCAACACTCCAGGTTACCATGTACACAAACAGACTTTTAATGATAATATTTATTTTTTCAGGTGGAGAAAATCATGTAAAGTATGCTGCCATTTATTTAGTAGGGGAGATAGGGAATAAAAATATATGGTTATATATTAATTTTATATAATTTTATATTAATATATTCAAGAAAATATAAACCACAACATTTAAAAATAAAGTAGTTATCTAAAGGTGGAGGAAGGAAACAGGATAGAGGAGACAGAGATAGAAACTAGATTTGTTTTGTAAGTTTGACTTTAGGGTCATGTAAAACTTTGCATAATTATAAAACAAAATTAAATTTAAAATAAAGCAATTGCCTAAACAGCAAAAGCAAAATGAGACAGTTGAACCTGTCTATCCAGTAGGTGGCATAACCACACCAAGGGGAGGATTCCAAGTGATTAAACACAGCAGTGTGACAGTTTATCTTAAGTGGAATGTAATCAAGGACAAAAACAACTGCACAGAATCTTAAACTAGCTTTTGTAATCATTTTGCTGGTGGTAGTCTTAATATTTATTCCAAGACGGTTGTGTGTATATTATGGATAAGGAGACTGAGTAATTATATTCATGTAATTAAAAACCTGAAATTTGACATGGAAAAGGGAATACAGAAAAAAAAAAAAATCCTCCACTCTTGAATTAGAAGAGGAACTATCATTATGCATTTATGATGAATATTATTATTTTATTAAAATATATGTTTCCTAGCTTTGTTCATTGAAAAGGCTTAGAAAGTGCTCAACCCCTCACAATGAGATCATGGTCTCTACACACCATTTTCCACTCAAAGGAATCGAGGGCTCCATGAAGAAATAGCTGATTACAGGTTTGTGGCAAGAAATGTGTAAGATGGGCCTGGAATATCCTAAGCTGCTTTGGTGATATCAGAACTCTGATATCAAGTTAAAGAGGCTCTTAGTGGACAAAGATGGGAAAATTTGAACAATAATAAATATAATTGCAATGGACTCATACACATTAAATATTAAAATTCATTAATTCTTAATGACACTATAAAAATAAAATATTACTGATCATCCTTGGAAAATGTAAGGAAAACAAAATCATTACAGACTAGCAAATAAAGAGATCAAACATTTTTTCTGCCTTCTCTATACGATTCCAAGTAACTAAATAGTTGATAAGGAAATGTTTCTCTTAATAGAAGTGCTCCATCTAATAAATGAAGAAGGAATTTAAAATTCCAATATCACCATTTTGCAACCTTTAATGAATTTTTGGGTGTAAACAATGATAATGACTGCCAACATCACAAAAAGGCCACCAGATGTGCTTCTGGATAGAAGTATATGCTACCATCACCTATGGAATATTTTTGCCAAAAATTTAACCTCAGTCTGATGATGTCTCTAATTAAATACTAGTCCTATGTGGCTACTGAGCATTTGAAATGTGGCTAGGCCAAATAGAGCTGTGTTATAAGTGTAAAATACACACTGAATAGCAAGAACTTAATATGAGAAAAGGATGTAAACAATCTCAATCATTCTTAATATTGATTATATACTAAAATAGTATTTTGGATCTATGGGATTAAATAAAATTATATTATTAAAACTATTTTCCTGTTTCTTTTTCAAAATGCCTATTATAAAATTTAGAATTATATTTGCGGCTTACATTTCCATCAGACAGCACTGCTCTAATTTGAACAACTTACAGGAAATACATTGGACAAAGTAACATGTTAAATAACACCAGAAGGACAGAAATAGAATCCAGCTTTAGGAAACTCTACAAATTCTACTTCTAATCTAATTTAGTGGTAGAGTAAAAGTTACTAAAAATTTGTGAGTGTGAATGTTATAATTCATGGGTAACATAGTCCTAAATATTAATAACTATGAAATCATAGACTTGATATCTCAGTTACATTTTCACTATTGCTCATTAAAATAAGTGCATAACAATTAAAAGTCTGTATCTTTGCAATGCCTAAGTAATTTATTTTATCACCAGTGGTATGTTAACTGCACCGTAGAAAACACTGGTATACAATTTATCTTCCTTGAAATTTTCAATTTTTAATACTTTGAAAATAATTATCTCAGTTTTTGCAGATAAACACATAGTTATTATTTCTATACTATTAGAAAGGCTTTGTTTTAAATTCACTTTGTTCTAAAACTCTAAATAGCATTTATACATCTCATCAAAATGGACTTTCTGCAAAATAATTTTCTTGATTAAAGTATAATTGCAAGACCAATTAGATATGTCAAATTTTAGAACTCTTCCTTCTCTCCTGTCTGCACTATTTCTCCCAAATTAGAGAGCAAATTTATAAATGTATTATTCTGAAATATCAGAAATTTTAAAAGTTAAGTACTGAAGTAAGCCCAGGCATCACTTTTAAAACGGCATTCCTTACATATCTAACATAATAGGTGTTTCAAAGTATTAGGTAATTTGTTTCTCGGTTTATTAATTCAGAAATTATTTACTGGTATCTAAACTTTTACTTCTGTTTTTATTCACTTATGATGAAAAAGGTTATGCCAGTTTAGGCTAAGTAAATGTGATAAAATGTCTAAATAATCCACAGAAAGACATCTTACATTCTCATGTAGCGATACACTGGTAAATACAGTATACGCATTGAAAATTAATCTTCGACTTTTTTTAACTTTGCTCGCGTTGCACCAAAGCGAGGGAACACTAGGGGGCAGTGCCGCTAGCAGAAATCTCTCGAGAGGATTGGGAACGACGCTCAAATCTAATTACCAGCCGCTAATGCAGTAAATGGGGTCTGAGAGTAACAAAAGAATTTGTTTAATCTTACTTTTTTGGAATTATATGGATATTACATGCATATTATTCACAAGCTCTTGGAAGAGGCTTTGCCCAACCCCACGAGCCCTTTAGCTTGGTGACAAGCTCTTCCTGGAAAGGTCTTTAGAACCGAACTTCTCGTGCCAAACAAGACACAGAGGAGAAGACATTGCCAGAAAGTAACGATTATAAAGACTGACCCCAGGTGCTAGTATAATATTTAGTTCTTACCTCATTTTAACCTTCACTCGTATCCACCATTCCTTTTATTTCCTTCGCCTCTCCCAGCTTCTTTGCAACGCTGTCACTTTTGAGGATATTCTGAGAACATCTCGACTCTCACCCCTCAGCTTTCTCACTTTGCATCCTCAATTCTGTTCCACTCAGTGAATTCCACAGCAACAAGACTATATTAAGTAATTTATCCATAATGCCAGCCACTACCTACAGAAAGAATAGGGCCAAAACTAAAAAATCAAAAGCTATAAATGGCAAAACTTATTTACATTTTCTAAAATTACATTTACATGCCAGACTCAGAATAAGCAGACAGCCAAGTTCCCATGCCTTTTTAATAGGTGGCAAATTTTCTAATATTCAAGCAACAAACCAATTTTTCTTTTAAAAAATTAGAATCTATAAGTATTATATGAGTTATGCTCTGAATTGTGAGTTTGGCCTGCTTAAAATTTCACAAATCATTCTAGATAGTTTACATTATTTATTTGTGAACAATTCTTGAAGTCTGTTTGGAATTTGGAATTTAGCAGTAGGTAGTTCAGATGATTATAATAGTGTATGATTGATATACTTAATCGTAGTTGATTTTCATTCATTTCTTCAGATCTTTTGCACTTGGAATTTCTATAACCTAATTTGCTTAGAATTGTCTAACTAATAAATGGCTTGCCCTCCGCTGTATAGCAGCCATCGCCCGGGTTTGGTGCAACTAGAAATTTCAGTTCACCTTGGCTTCCATAGGGTTTGAGATACTTTTAGTCTCACTGTATTAGTCAGAATCCCATGGAAAAAGAATACCACTTAAGAGGGTTGAAATGAATTTAAAGATGGAACTGTTGACAGAACAGTGGGCAAGGTTGAGAGAAAGCAAGCCTAGAAGCTGAGGTACCCCAAAGTGAGCACAGTGGGAAGCCGTCTCCTCTTGGGCCCAAAGGGACACCTAAGGGGAAGGAATAGGGTTTCCTAAGCCTGCAGGCACTAGAGCTGGGACCAGTGGTGGGGCTGCCACCTCCAAGGGACAGATCAGTGCCGAAAAACTGACACGGGAAGGAAGTGGCACTGAAGGACCCAGAGCTGTCTCCTGCCACCCCCTGCCAGCCACAGCCTCACCTGGACCCCCCAGAGCAGGCAGAGAAGGGCGGGGACTGGGAAGAGGTGGCCATAGCAAAAGGAGAGCCACCGACCACAGAATGTTCTGTTTAATAAACAGAGTCTTACTATTTGAGGTGAGCTCTGTGGTTCTCTCCTTATCTTTTTCCTTCACGCATGACACTCTTAACAAACCAAAGAGCAAACAATAGTTTAAGGAAAGTCTATCTTTTTTTTACAAATGTCCGCCTTCTAGATGGAACCTTTTATTCCCCATCTCATATGTCTGGTCTTCTGTTTGGTTCAATAGAAAGCATTTTCTGCTATATAAAAATCTAAAACTTTTTCTTCTCAGCATCTCGACAATACAAGCTTTTAAGTGGGATCAATGAAGTCTCTGCTCCTTGATTCTAGAAAGCTCAGCCAGTGATCCCGCGAGAAGGGAAAGTGTGTTCTTTCCCCCCTGCCTTGCCAAGGAGTTCCCATTAAAGCCGAGGTTAAACTAATCCCCAGCCAGGCCCATGTTTGCTTAATTTAGAGTTTTTCCTTTCCTTGTGATAATCCACTTGAAACTCTATCAGGGAAAAAAAAAATCAAATGCAAGAATGTGTTGTCACTTTCATAAAATATTTCTCTCCTTTCCCCCCCCACACCCCTTCCTTTCTCCCCTTCCTGATTTTCACCAGAAGGATGAAAGACAAGGAAATCTTGACAATTTCATTCTAAGCACACATTCTAAATCTGTCAATAAATGACTGATAACTTTGTCACACATGGAGGGACAAAGCTCTGTAAGAAAACAATTGATTAAAGCCAATTGACTTTCTTTCAAAACGAATATCCTGCCCTGAAATTTAATCAGTGAACAAAAATGTATTCTGTTATTTTCCTTTTTCCTAAGAGTCCTCTCCGTTATTCAAAAGAAGCCTTGTCTTATTTTGTTTCCAAACTCCTTTTCCTTTTCTTTCCCCTGTGCAGTTGATTTCCTACCTTCTTGCCGTGTGCGTGGCGGGAGCAGGAAGGGGCTCCTGCCTGTGCCCTCTCACCACTCTCACCAGGGGCTTCCTCTCTTCCTCTGCTTGCCTCCTGAAGACAAATCCTTGGCAGAAATGAAAACAAATGGAATGGCTTTTTTACATTTCTGCCAGGGGGAGGCTATTTTGTAATCTTTTGCAGCCTTCCTATGCACAACCCAATCCCAAACTGACTTGATTATCTTCTTAACTGTTTAGGGCAAAATGAAAAACTGGATTTTGTTACCTGCCCCAGGAGCAGAATGAACATTGCTAAGTTCTCTCGTGAATTGCCAGGGTACATTTTCTTTTACAAATAGGTCTGAAAGGTCTTCCAGGGACCCCATTGGCTAAATAATCTTGATAGTTATTACAAAGAAATTTTAATTCTTTTTTAAAGTATTTTTGGCACTTACTTATCAAGGCCAATATTTATAATTCAGTTTATTTTTCCAGGTTGTACAAGTTACTGACAATGAGACTCAATTTAAATAGATGGCTTCTATGGGAATTATTAATTTTGACAAAGAAAAGAAAAAAGGCTGACAGATATTTGTTTTAAAAAGAATTGATTAACTCAGTTCAAAAGAATAATAACTAGGGCCACCAGACCTCCCTACTTAACAAGAGTGACCTGGCCGAGAATGTTCTAAGCAAGAAATCTTTCCAAACGGGGATACCAATGAGTAAACCAACATAAGGAGCCAAGCCAATAAAGTAGGGGATTTTTAATGAACATTTTTAAGGCTTATGGGAAGAAGCCACAAAGAGTAAAAGGATTATTCTGCAGACACTGCCTTATTAATCTAGATTTCCCTTGTTTATTGTGGAATTATGTCATTGGATTAGCCATCAGGGGAGAGGAGGACTGTGTGATATAAAAGCCCAGTCTCCAGAGATAAAATCTCTTCAATTTGTCATTTTTTGCAATATCACAAAGAAATGCATTTTTCCATGGTCTTGATACAGAAAGCATGTCAAGGCAGGACAAAAAAAAAAACCGTCGAAGTGGTTAGTTATAATGGGATAAGCAACAGCTACACTGAAAAATTCTACATGTAATGCAGTTTCCCTTTTGTGTAGAAAAAGATAGGACAAGATACCAGAGTCCTCATCTGGATCGTGGGTGGGATATTAACATATTAAAGCAGGAATGTCTGAAACATGCACTGTGTAATTTCAGCTGTCTCAGCCCAAATCAGGCATAGCTCTGGGGAGAACAGGGACAGGGAGTGCCAGCCAGCAGGTGTCTCTGTGATCCCCAGGCTGCCTGGGTGGTGGCCTTCAGAACACACCCCACGCAGCTCTGGGTCTTCCAGGCACACTGACCGCAGGGGTGGGCAGGGCCACCAACCACCTCTGCGGTGCGATTTCAAGGATGCCAACCCCCCAGTTCCCACCACTCTGCACTGGCCAGTGTCTGAAATTCCCCTGACAAAGCTTCCTTGTTAGCTTAAGCTACCGCTAAGGCTTTGACTCCTGATGCTATCCAACCATGCCTCTTGCCCTTTCTCTTCCACTCTATCCTACCACCAAAAATAGAGAGAGAGAGGGCAATATGCAAATGCAAATGTATAAGAATTCTATCTAATTCTACTCATTTGAATATTTACTGAAAAAGTCTGAGCAAGACATCAGTTGAAATCATAAAATTTCAGAATGGGCCGGGGTTTTGTTTTTGTTTTTAGCTTAAAATCAGGAATGACAAGTCAACGTATGCTTTTGGGATGAGTAAAACAAAATAGTTGAAGTCTGGGGTGGATGGTTGATGCTGCAGAAAGCTCATTCGGTCAATCCACACATCCTGTTGGATTCATTTGTCGTCCCTGCAAGCTGTCACCCAACCTCTGTGTGGACACAGCCTCCCATGTGGACACCTCCAGGGGAGAGGACGTCTCCCCTCTCTTCCACTGACACCCGCCTCCTGACACCACCACTCTGCAGCTTGTTCTTGTCCACAAAGGCCACAGAAGTTGGTGTCATTCTTCTCTCATGGGCATTGCCACTTTATTAAAACACAGGAACTCCCAGAACCTTCTCCTCGTGCCATATACCTGTAGTTTTCTCACGTAACATAGTTTCCATTCCCCAGCTCTGCTGGGCTCACCGAGAAGACAGTGCCTCCACCAGCAAGGACTTGAGCCAGGCAGCAGCCCAGGGGTGGGGCCCTGGGAGAGGAAAGCAGATACTGAGCACCAAGCACCCAAGAAGAAGCGCTGCAGTGGAGGCAGATGGGGGCGGGCAGGGGCTGTAGTCTCTTCCACAGACTCATGGGAAAAGGACAGGGATGAGGAATTTCATCGGGATGAAGGGATGAGGGATCTGCATTGGGTTGTTTATCCCACCTGAGCAGAGGCAGTCAGGAGCTGACTATCAACACTAATGCCTTTTAATTGCATCAGAGCACATTTATAGCTAACAGACTGGCGTGAAAAACTGATTTCCAGGTCTTGGTCGAAAGTGAAGAAACAAACAATATAAGCCATTGAGAAAGTACAGGCGTAGTTGCCACTCTCCTAGTCTGATGACTTCAAGATGAAATCAAGAGTTAAAGACAAAATGCTCTTAAAAATATGCCTAGAAATCTGTAATTGGAGCACATAAAAAGACAATATCATGGCTTTTATTTCATTAAATAGTCATTGTAAGAATATTAGCTTTGAGTAAATTATGATCTCAAATGTATCTAAGGAAATTATAAAAGTAAAAATAAATATCTCTGAATATACTCTTTTTAAACTTTAATGATTATAATAATATTTACAACACAAGGTCATAGTATTGTTCTATGGATTAAATGAGTTTAAATATGCAAAGCACTTGGAACAATGCCTGGCAGAGTAGGCCCAATCAAACTATTTGCTCTCATTATATAGATGTTATCTTTTTGTAATTATGGTTACAATTGAATTTGAGAATTTTAAAATAAGATGAAAGATTAGTGCCCATTTAAGTTAGTGGTTTACAAAATTTTTTTTTTTTTTTTTGGCAGAAAAATCCAGTGTTCAAAATCCTTTCTCTAAACAACAAGGTAGTGCAGACCCAGTGAGAAGTGCAGGCAGAAAGGAGTGGTCTTCCCAAGGTGGGGCCAGATTCCTACCG